CTAACTTTGGGTTTATGAACGGGGATACTGTGGTCACTAGTTATGACTACGACGCACCCCTAACTGAGTCAGGTAAGTTTTTATAAGTATATGTTTAGGAATTTTTATTAATTAGTTTTATTGATTTTTAAGGCAATTATTCGGCAAAGTATTGGAAAACAAAGGAATTGATTGAGAAGTTCACGAAAGAGTGAGGTTTACCACAACTATTGATACCTAAACCTTCAGTCGTGTCGCTAACCACTGGTTACGGGAAACTCAAAGTAAAAGATTACTTGAGTTTAGAGGAAGTGTTGACACTAATGAAGCCAATCGTCACCGAAAAGCCACAACACATGGAGTTATTAAACATTGGCTCAACTTATGGACAAAAATTTGGTTTTATTCTCTATAGACTCGCAAATGTTAATAAGTTTAAACATTTGAAACTCACGGGTAATTCAACCCATTATAATGAAATTAAGTTAATGATGTCTTATAAATATTGGGGGAAAATAGGTGGTGCCTCTGATCGGGGAGTCATACTCGTTGACCACAAAGAGGTCGGTGTTGTCGACAACAATAAATCAGGACTTAAATGACACACAATTTGCAAACACAACGACTCATACGTTGGATATAATCGTCGAAAACACCGGTCGAGCGAAGATTGGGGACGGGATTAATACCGCCCGAAAAGGTCTTAACGGCGATATCACTATCGATACAAAACTTGTCACAAATATCGAGACATTTCCGCTTGAATTCAAAGAACCATTTGTTAAGCAATTGTCTGAATTGAAGGGAAAGCCGTTTGTTGAAGGCATTAAAAGTCCAGCCGTTTATCAGTTAGAATTATTGGATATTAAGGACAGTCCGAGGGATACATTCATACGACTGGACGGTTGGGTGAAAGGCAATGCATTCATCAATGGTTTCAATATCGGCCGGTATTACCACATCGGACCCCAGCAGACACTGTATATCCCTGCACCGTTACTATAAACGGGCAAAAATGATATATTAGTGTTTGAATTGCATTCCGCCACCGATTCGGTTGACTTCACGGATACACCGGTTTTGGGTTAAACTAACCCTTCAATTAATTGACAGGACTTTTGATATACTTATAACTTTATGTTAAAAATTATACTAAAATATAACACAATTTAGTAAAACCTGTTGCAATAATGAATAATACAATTTATACACTACAATCAATTTTATAAACTACAGACATAGCGATGGAAATAAGCTATGATTACAATAATAGCAAACTAATAAATATTGTTTTAAATACACAAAATTCAAATCAGACTTACATTCACTTCAAAACTGTTGAGAATTTTTGTCAATTAGTTTTTGACAGTAATTAATATGTATTTCAAAATGTATTCATTTGTATCACTTCTGACAGGTATAGACCATAAAACCATTGAATTAGTTAATCTATTGTCTCACTAATCCCTATATCATTGTCAGTCTTAGTCTCATTGTTATCGCAACTCCCTGTCCATCAAACCGTTGGTTACTTTTGCCGACAATTCAAAGACAATTCATATGAAATAGACTATAGTTTTCAGCGCTTATACAGCGATAACCAAACCATAAGATCTTATTTATCGCTAATTATTGGCCAAAACTATTGGTTCGTCGGCTTTAACGA